GCTTCTGAGACACCAAACTACAATGGTAATCACGAAGGTATGAAGGAGGGTGTTTGGTTCTGTTAGATTTTCGAGTGACAGGAGCTGGTGAATCAGAATTTATCACAGGAGAATGCTGATCAAAGCTGAATTCTGGAGTGCTAGAAGAAAAACCAGGAGGAGAAATAGCTGATATTGGGGAGTGATGATTAGAATGAGTTACTGGGGTATGTGCAGATGGGAAAGATGGAATATCATCAAAAGGATAAAAATGTGGATAGAATAGAGACTGATCAACTTCAAGGGAAAGACTGAAATTTGATAAAGACTTTAGGAAATCTGAGTTACGAAATGGAAATATGTTCTCATGAAATATGACGTCTCTTGAAGCAAGGATGGAATGGGATTGAAGATCATACAATTTATAGGCCTTCATGCCATGGGGGTATCCAAGAAATATACAAGGCTTGGCTCGTGGATCAAATTTTGTTCTATTCCTTTTTAGGGTGGATGTATAGCAAAGGCATCCAAAGACCCTTAGATGGCTGTAAGATGGTTTTTCTTGGTATAACATTTCAAAGGGAGATTTGTTTCCAAGAATAGTAGTAGGAGTTCGATTGATAAGGTGTGTGGCAGTTAATATGCAGTCTCCCCAGAACTGGTTAGGTAAATTAGCTTGGAATTTTATGGCACGAGCTACATTAAGTAAATGTTGGTGTTTGCGTTCGACAACCCCATTTTGTTGAGGTGTTTCAACACAGCTTAATTGATGCAACATTCCCTTGGAAAGGTAGAAATCATGCATGTGAAACTCAGATCCATTGTCTGATCTTAAGGTTTTTAGGTTGCAATTGAAATGTGTTTGGATCAGATTATAAAATGATTGGATGATGGACCTAGTTTGAGATTTTTCTTTCATAAGATATGTCCATGTCATCCGGCTATAATCATCAACAATGGTCAAGAAATATTTCGAACCATCTAAGGCGGGAATAGAATGTGGTCCCCAAATGTCACAATGTATGAGATCAAATATGTTCGAACTTCTGGTGTCACTTTTAGGAAAAGGTAGCCTATGTTGTTTTGCTATAGGACAAATGATGCAATGCAAATGTTGATCAAAAGTAATTGTAGGAACAATTTTATGCAACAGTGATAATTTGGAAGTAGGAATATGTCCCATTCGACAATGCCATATATCAATGTCAGTATGAATATCCTTTTTACATGGAAAATTACATACAGCAGGATCAGAATTATTACAATCAAGATGTGGAGTAGGAACTTGTACATCAATGAAGGAAGCTACATTATTGAGAACAGGAAGGATAGATTTTGTTGGAACACTTTGAGAAGTGGAAGAAAGTTGCCCATTGAGTTGATTATCAGAAACTTGGAAATGATATAAACCATCTTCAAGTTTCCCTACCCCAATCGTTTTCCAGGTGAAAAGATCCTGAATGAAGCAAAAGTGATGTAAGAATAACAACAAACATTTATGCTTGATAACAAGATTGCTGGCGGAAATCAGATTGAAGTTGAAGCTTGGCACAACTAATACATCAGTTAAGGTTAATGCATCAGATAGCTTCACAATACCAATGTGTGTAACTTGTGCAATATCCCCATTTGGTAATCTTACTGAACCTTTAGTTTTACTAGTCACAGCAGTCAATTGATTAATGGAACACACCATATGTTCCGAAGCCCCGGTATCAATGATCCATTTACCTGGATTTAGATAGCATGCTCGATTACCTGAAAACGCAAAGGCATCAGGTGCATGTGTAGAAGAAGACATAACCTCCTGAGATTGTTGACCTTGCAGCTGTGGAGCAAGCACGGTCATAATCTGCTGGCGTTGGCTTGGTGTAATAGTGAGGTTGGACAAAGAATTAATCAGCTTTGAATTATTTGCCTGGGAAGCCTGACCTACAGCATTAGCAACTGAAGATTTCCTTTGGCAAGCCTATGTCCAGGGGGATATCCAACCAATTTGTAGCATTTCCCCCTTAGATGGCCTAACATTCCACAATAAGTACATATAGGCATTCCTTTCCTTTGAGTTTGATTGGATACATTGTGTCTCTGATTTCCATATGAACTAGACACAGCCTTGTTGGCAAAAGCTGCTATATCAAAACTCTGTTGTTTCTTAGCAACAATTCCTTTCTGCCTTTCATCTTGTAAGACTAAGGCAAACACCTTGTTCAGTGAAGGTAGTGGATCCATTAATAAAATTTGGCTTCTCACACTGGAAAATCGATCATCTAGACCCATTAGGAATTGCATAACTTGATCTTCAGCTTTGTAGTTTGCACTACTTACTTCCGGCCTATAATTGTCTAATTCTTCCCATAGGCCTTTAAACCGATTGAAGTAAGAATTGATGGAGTTATTGTCCTGAGAAATTGAAGCAATTTGCTTCTTTATCTCATAAATTCGAGATCCATTTCCTTGGCTGTAGCGATCCTTTAGTTCGATCCAAATCTGCCGAGCTGAATCCTTATGCATTACACTTGGATAAAGTTCCTTTAGAATGGAATTTATGATCCAGGAAGAAACTACATGATTGCATCGCCTCCAAGCACCATAAATCAGATCATTCTCAGCAGGTTTAGCAATGGATCCATCAATAAAACCTTCCTTATTTTTGACACTGAGAGCTATGATAACTGCACGACTCCATGTGGTGTAATTATCCTCAGATAACATGATAGATATGAGCTGCATACCTATATTGTCGCCATAGTGGAGATAATAAGGACTGTTAGGATCATTTATCGATCGATTAACAGTATTATTTGCATCTCCAGTACTCGCATCTGTAACAGAAGGATCGACCGCCGGATCAGCGTGAGCTGGCTGATGTTGAACCTTTACTTGTTGATTAAACTCTCTTGCCATTGCCAAAAGAAACTTCAATGCTCTAATACCATGAGAATTTTGCAATGGGAGAGCTGAAGAAGAGAGTGAAAAATGGCGGGAAAATTCTGTATTCACAGTTAATGAAAATGGCGTGATACATTGGGTATTTATAGACAGTGCAGTAGCTAAAATGTACAAAAAGACAAAAATGACCCTGTACAAATTACAAATTACAAATTTATCTTAATAACAAATGCTCATTCTTTTAAAAAATAATCACCATTTCAATTTCTTTCTTCTCCCCTATATTCCCAAACGGCCAACTTCATTTTCGTTTTTCCAATTTGCCAACTTTCTACCTCATATAGCATTTTCACAGCTCCTTTCAGTTTCCAATCGTAAATTCTATGAGCCTATCCCATGCAGCTTCTAGGCTCCCCCCAAAAAAAAAAATAAATAAAAATTCCTACACTTCTTGATAAAATGGGACCCGTAAGAGCAACGTTTAAAAACAAAAGCTGCCAGCAGTTATAAAACTCATGTTTTTTGCCAGCAAATCTATTGCAGACATAATCTATATGTATTGCCATGTATATAATAAAAAACAACCTACAAAATGTCCCATCTACGTATATACATAGCCAACAATAACATATTTCACTATCGAAAATTGAAGCTATCGTCCCTAATTTGATCATAAGGTACACGTTATACCACAAACCAGAAAATCACACTATATGATTAGATTAACATTCCACTTAGGTACTCATTTCCAAAATCTTAAAAAAAAATCCCTTTCCTTAAATTTACTCTATGCCCTGCCTTATAAAACACACTTTAACTTAATTTTTATAAAGGGGAACAAAGTTCAAACCACGTTATTTGACAGCTCCATCATAGCTTTCGAAGATACCTTACTACCACACAAGACATACCTCATCTCAAATGCACAAGTTAAAGAAACAGATACAAATTATAGAGCCCAAGGTGACATCCGATGGACAATCAATGCAAAAACCTATGTTGTTGAAGTCAACGAACAATTTAACTCCCTCCTTTCATCAGCTTAGAAGTTCATATCATTCGGAGATCTTCAGCCCTACATGGATACAAATGTAGAAATCAGTAAGTATTTGCAATCCCATTAACATCTTACACTTCATTGCTTCCATCTTAAACATAAATTACAACCTAGACTTATTACTAACCTATATTATTTCTCGTAGGCATCATTGGAATAGTAGTCGACATCTTTCCCAAAAGAGTAATTCAAATTCGTGACAACCAATCAATAGTACAAGATATTACTCTCACGAATGAATGGTAAAACATTTACTTTTGTCACACATTAACTATCACCAACCCCAAAATAACTCATTTAGTTATTACATATTAAATATAATTTGAAACCTTATAAGTTTGAAACGCGCATGCTTCAGATGTGGGACAATTTCGTCACAAATGAATGTAATACCATTCACAACACAATCACCAAAAAACCAATTGTTGTGAGCAACAGATTAAGAGTAATTTCTTTCAATGGTGAATTGACTCCTTGTACACAATCACACTAACATGATTTTAAACCTTACATGCAAAAACTCAATTCACTCTCTATTTAGGTATATCCGTCTCTACAAAAATCAACTCATCAATACTCATTAATTTCCCATTTGAGCAAGTTCTTGAACTAAAGCACTAGTACATTCTTTCACTTTTCCACTTACTTACTTACATCTATTGTAATTATTACTCTTAATTTCCTTATTTAGTTTTTAACAATTTCATTTTCACATCAACATTAGGTTAGAGGACAACATGAGCACAATAAATGACATTGTGACAAGAAAGGCGTATATCTTCCCCACATCCATCACAATTTCTTGTCCACCAGAAGAAAAGTTAGTCAACATCAAACAACTTCAACAACTCCAACATATGGTACACCAAATCACTACACCTTCTCACTTACATTTACATCTATCCCCAACATATATTTTTCTTACACATCTCATTATACACATTGCAGCAACGACACTTCTGGACAAGAGCAAATGTCACATTGGCTGAAATAAACCAACCACTATGGTATCTATCATGTGACAATTGCAACAAATTTGCAATTGGAGCTGTGAACAAAACTTATTTCTGTAGATTCTGCAGGCACAACTACGCTACACCGACTCCAAGGTCAGATTATATTCAGGTCACAAGTACATCATCTATGTGAATAGATGCATTATTCATCATCTAATGATAATCAAATACATCCCAAAACAATGGCAATGATTCCACTTATACTCTAACAAAGCAAGAGCAATCGTTCAACTACAAGACTCCACAGGATCAATCACAGCATCAATTATTGGAAAACCAGCTGAAACATTCCTCAAATGCCCAGCAACGAAACTGATGAAACAAGATTCCGAGGTAACTATCTCAAAATTACATTTTCTTGCCTACTAATCTTTTCTTTCCAATAAATATACTATTAACTACTTCTAATGAACATCACAGCAAGAACATACGGAAAGCAGCTATACAATACCACCACCAACTGCAAATAAGCACATCATATACATCAAAGTTGTAAATATGGAGACAGCCACCAACAAGGCACCATATGAAATCATCTTCATCATTGACTCACACCTCCAAGATGAAGACCAGTTACTCACCAACATCATACAACCAGGCACTTCACATGAAGCTCACAACCATGCAAACAAAGAACAAAAGCAAGAGTAGTTGTTCAACATGTAAAAATACATATTTTGTATTTCTTTTGCACGCTTATGTCCACAGTCGAGCAAACTTGATTCTCAGTATCTCTATTTGCTACACTAAATTTTGTTCGTTGTCCATATTAACATGTTAGAAACCATGTACCCATGAACGACATGTAACATCTTTGTGTATGGCAACTAAGAACTCTGTTTTCTACTTCATATTACTTTTGCCAATGTAACTACTTGTGGACAAATATTTTTTATAATCTAATGTAGTCATCTTTCTAGCTTGATCTTATTTTCTATTAAGATGCCACATGATCAAATTTCAACATTATTATTTACACTGCAATACCCACTGCACGTGCAACGCACGGCCCATCACTAGTTTTTCTAAAAATTTGTCAGCCCGGACCGATGAGCTTAAAATCTGGTCACTTCATGGTCTTAAAATCGTGGAAATTGCATAATTTTAGGGGTTTAAGGATGACAATTCAAAATTCAGGGATGAAGTTTCATTTATTCATAAATCAGGTATCAATATATACAAATCTTAACCCTAAATCATTTTTATTTTTTCTTCTTCCTCTTCTCTTTACCTCTCATCCTTCTCTCTCTCATTTTCTCTCCGGTCTCTCTTTTCTACATTGGCAACCCATTCAAACTCCGACAATCGATGATGACAGAGCTGCACCGGCCGACGACTACTACAAAGCATGCGGTGTTTGCAGTCCGTTAACGTAGCATCATGACATTGTTGTCCTTTGGAGCCGACGGCTTGTGGAGGGGGTTTGGGTTTTTTATTTTTCTTTCCAGTTTGAGGAGGTTGTTGTGGCGGCGATTTGGGGATTGTTGGTAGATTTGGTGGTTGTGTTAGTGATGATGGCTCTACACAGCACAACTCTAATTTTGGATCAGGTTGTGATGTATTTGGTGTGTTTGATGGTGCGATGGTCGTGGTTTCTGGCATCTATGGAGATGTTAGTGTTGGTAGGAGTGATGAGGGTGGTGTTGGTGAGGTTGTGGGTTGGGTATTGTTGGTGCGTTTGGTGGTGGCAGTCGCGGTGGTTTCTAGCAACGATGGTGATTGTTGGTGGCTGTGGTTGTCATTATTTTTGTTGGCGTTTGATTTGATCCGATGGTGGCGATTTTGTTGGTATTGGTGTTGGTGGTGATGCTGTTGTGGTGGCGGTGACGGTAACAGTGGTGATAGTGGTATGTGACCACTATTTGGCATATGTGACCAACAATTTAATTGTGACCTAAAATTCTAATAATTCGTGATCAATTAATTTGATCTTGAAATAATTCATGACCTCTAAATTTTTGATTTGCGACCTTGAGATAAACTGTGACCTAAAAATTTTTTTATTTGTGACCTCAAAATAATCTGTAACTAATTAATTTGATAATATGTGACTTATAATTGTGTATTTGTTACCAGTAATTTTATAACTATGACTTTATTATATTTAATTAATAAATATTTTTACTTAATTAAATACATGCTTGAATTTTGAAGTTCTGAAACTATTTACCTAATTTTTGAAGTGGTGTAAGTAATACACTAGTTATGAATTTTTTCCCTTAAAGATTGTAGATCATTTGAAATGATGGGCCTAACCTGGTCCTTTTTATACTGGACAGGTGCCGGGCCATTTGTTTAATCCTTTTCAAAACCCCGTCCGCAACACTGAAGTCTAAAGCACGCACAAAACACAGACGAAGAGGAAACGATGGCGGAGGGGAATGGCGAGCAACCACACAAGTCCCCTAGGTTTCGCAAAGTCGGTGCCCCCGCCAAAATGAAATCGAAATTCACGCCGAATTTAAACGATGAACTCTCCAAAGAACAGAAAAAGTTTCACAATCCCAAGGTACGTCAAGAAAGATTGTTCATTGTCCCTTTCTTTTTGCTAGTTTCTTCCTCAAATTTTGTTTGTAATGATTTTATTGGGAGATTGTGTGGATGATTGCTTTTGAGCGCCAGCAAAAATTGCGAATTTCTGGGATTTTAATTTTATTCATCGGTTAGGTTTAAAATTGTTTGGAATTATTAGTTCTTAGAACAAGGGTTCACTTTTTGAAGCACAAAGCTTGTTTATTATTACTTCCTCTGTCCCTTGCATGGGCTTATATAGGCTGACTTCCCTTATTTTCTTGTCCCAATTATACGGTCCAGTTTTGAGAATAATTTATTTTGTTTGTTTACTAATATACCTTATTTAATTTGTCTAGTTTTAACCAATTTTATCCACTTAATCTTGAAATTGTATAAATATAAATAAGGGTGAAAATATAAATAATGGTAAACTGGGAAAGTTTGTGACAAAAATTGCTTTTTCAATAACATTAAATAAGATTTCTTAATTTGAGTGAAAAACAAAACTGGGACGGAGAGAGTATACAGTATGCATTTATTTAACACAGAAATAATGAGTTGTACGCATGTATTTAACTGAAGGAAACATAAACATTTATTGTATCATGTGCATATATGCATTTATTTCTTTTATTTCTGTATGATTCTGGAAGATTTTGCTTCGCTTTCTAAAGCAACAAATTTTAACTCTCCATCACTAAACATCTAGCTGTAGTTGTCCTTTGCATTGGCATGATGACACTGCTCTCTCTATAATGTATTTTCTGTCATAGGCGTTTGCCTTTACTTCAACCGTCAAAGCAAAGTGATTACAAGCACGAGCTACAGAGAAGGAGCAGCGGAAGCTTCATGTCCCAATGATGGATCCACAGGAGAACCTGCTCCTTTCGTTGTTGTAGTCCAGGGACCTCCTGAGGTCTGTATAAGCATAAAGCATTACACAAAACATAATTTACCTGCAGTTCGAGGTCCAATTACTATAGTATCAGGTTGAACAAGCTTGTCCTTGTTCCTTTTCTCTAATGATCAGTGTTTCGCAAATGATGTTGAATGGAACAAAAATTGAAAGAAATGTGAAGAAAGTTGCTTTACTTCATTATCTTGCCACCAGAAAAAGTAGAATGAAATTCGAGCATGGATGGGTCTTTCGGTTTACACCAGATCACCTCAATAATTTTCACATGTTTTTAATGATTAAAATTTAGAGAAGCCAAGACCCGCTTTTAATTATCTGGCGATTTTATCTATTAAATGAGAATGCTGACATGGTGAAATTCCAATGGTTTAGTTGGTGTTAAGTTTGGGATTGGATTGAAAATGGTGAGCGATTTTTTGATTTATTCTGGTGTAGGTAAGCAAAGGAGACTGCAGTTTGTGGAATGTCCAAATGATATTAATGGGATGATCGATGGTGCCAAGTTTGCTGATTTGGCCTTGCTTCTCTTTGATGGAAGCTATGGTTTTGAAATGGTGAGCTTCTACTAGTCATTTTCTTCTTTTTTCATGTAATTTCTTCTAAGTATCAGGAAGTTTTTGAGAAAATATCTGCTTCCGAAGGAGGAATGTACACGGACAAAAACTTATACAACAATTCATGAAGACAATAATGCGAAATTCAGACTTCTGATTAGAGTTGAGGCACACCCAGGGACAGCAGATTCCTTCAGATATAAACATTACCTTTGCCATTAATTTTAAAAATTGAAAACAGTTTCAGGCGGGACAAACAAAGGAGGAATTGTGAGATAGGCAAATGATATTGACTTTCTGTATGGGTGCGCAAAGAAGTTTGTTAATCCATTACTTTGTCCCTATCTGGACAATTTGAAACTCTAAACTGGGAAACGAGCAAATTGTTCCCAAAACAGTTCGGCCACGTAGAAAATTTCATTGCTTTTGTTCCAAGACTATGAATAGGGAAATTTGTGTGTACAAGATTATGATATACCACTTTGATCAATTGATAAGTACCGAGCCCTCACTGAATTATCTCAATATTTTCCATGAGTAGGATTCGGTGTTCATCGAGGTGGAAAATTCTTGCAAAATTAATAGTCCCCTTTTGTCCATAGTTGGATTTTCTACTAGCCATTGTCTAATTTTTCCTAAGCAGTCAATCTTTTTTCCCTCTGTGTTTGGTTAAGTTACATTGGCTTTTAGTGCTTTTAATGATTTTATTTATTTATTTATTATTAATTTTTTATCACAAACTTTTGTTGTCATATTTTTATAAAAGGGACAACTTCAATTGCAGGAAACTTTTGACTTCCTCAACATATTACAAAATTATGGTTTCCCTAAAGTCATGGGTGTTCTCACACACCCGGACAAGTTTAAGGATATTAAAAGACTTAAGAAAACGAAGCAACGACTCAAGTATTGATCCTGGACTGAGATACATGATGGTGCCAAATTATTTTATTTATCTGGCCTATTCATGGAAAGTAAGTGGGATACTGTTTAGCTTGGCTATAATAATTAGCGGGT